ATATAAAACAATCCCCTGTACAAACTACCACCTGTAATATATTATAAAACAGATCCCCTGTACAAACCACCACTTCCCACTTCCCCCCTAGCATTCTTTTTCAACATTACAACGACACTACGATGGCCTACCGTCTCAGACGGCCTCTTTCCTCCTCATCAATGGGTGGCTGTCTAACACAATTTCAGCTGTACTTGTTGTATCCCTTTAAAAGATCAATTGTGGTCTCCATTAAACTCCCAGGACCTATACCATCCCATCCAACAAGGTAGGCCTACACTGTATGTTTCCACTTGCGGCTGACCATCAGCTTGTTCTCTTACTTCATGTCCCTGGACCCCGATGTCCAGCAAACAGGGCACCATACATGTATAGAGCTCAGTTTTTTAGTAAGAGTTTTACGGCACTTGTAACACAATAAGGTCAAATAAGTATCGAAGATTAGAAGTTTTAGTTTAGTTTAGTATGGGGTTTTACGGCGCTCGCAACTGCATAAGGTCATATGAGTGCGTGAAACACAAGTTGGTTGCATTCACAACAGTTCACTTCACGGTTGGTCAACTATTAAACTTTAAAATGTTAAGATATTAAAATTCGGTGTAAATATATTTTCTATTTAAAACAACTCTAATAAATAACAATAAAATTTTTAACAATATTGTTTCATTTTATAATTTCCCGTAAAGGCCTATGGCCTTCATAAAATTCAAGATTCTGTTGGGACCAACAACGGAAAAAATGTCTTGCAATTTCTTGCATTTGAAGTACACGTATTTCCTTCGGATCTCTCTAAAGTCTAGATATTCGGTTAAGATGTGTCTAATGGTAAAGTCTGTGTCGCATCTGACACAGAACGGCTTCTCATCTCCCTGTAGGAGGTACTTGTGGGTCAGGGCCGTGTGCCCGATGCAAAGATGGGAAGTATTACAAGAGAGTAGCAAACACAAAAACAAAGGAGGGGAGATAGAGAAGATAGATTTTTTACAGAAAAGAAGGAGCAAATCACACCAGAGCACCCGCCAACCACCCGCGTATAGAGCTCAACTCTAACAGAAAACATCTAAACTCATCAAAGTGAGAATATTTCAAGGAACTTTATTAAGATTCATTTTTGTAATTAAAGTAGATAAGACAAAGCTAAAATTGCTAGCTGTTATGCGTAACACTGGAAACACAGAGAAAAAAAAACCAAACAATCAAAACAAACCATCTCAACCTACCTGGCCAAGAAGAACCTGCGGCCCACGCCCCAGTCTAGTACAAGCCAGGGAGATGTCTGCTTCTTCCACACACCACCACTCACCCGCACACAGGATCACATTCCCATTCCATCTTTACTGCCACACATAGGCACAAACACATACACACACCATCTTTACTGCTATACACACACACACACACATCTTTACAGCCACACACACAATCTTTACTGCCACACATTGACTCACACACATCCATCTTTATGGTCACAGATTTATGAGAGCTGAGGGGCAGGGCAGGGGATATTCATTATAAACAGCAATGCCACATGCCTAACCTGACATCTGCTGACACTTATGAGGAACATGGAGAGGCTGGGGGAACAAGGGGTCAACACTACCTCCCATCAGCGACTACACTAAAGGAACCAAACTATTTTCAGACAAATATACACTGTGCACAGAGGGGGGGAAAGGAAGAAAGCTCGCAGCACCTTCTCTTTCCTTCCTCTAGAACAGTGGTTCTTAACCTTGTCCACGTTACTGAACCCACTCTGTACATTAACCGAACCCTTTCAGTAGGATGAAAAGAACAGAACGGGCGGGGAGAGAGACACACACACACACACACACAGAGTAAGTCTTGACCTTCACTTCACCCCTGAGACTGAGACTGACCCTCCGAACCCCCAAGAGTTCGATGAAACCAAGGTTAAGAACCACTGTTCAGAATCTGTCAGGGCGGGTGAGGGGGCCGAGAGGACAAGGAGAACAATAAAAACAAAGGGCCCCACAGTGACAACACTAACATCAGGGGACGGGAGATGGGAACAAATTCTGTACAAAGCAAGCCATGCCAGGTTACACATGTGGCCACCAATGATATGCTTGACATGAAGCCAGTGGGAGCCTCTCCAGGGTTCCGACGGTATCATATCCCAAAGATTAACAGTTGTCTTACACACTACACAAATCTCCATGTGCACAATGGCAACCCAGAAGAAACAGGGCTAGGATTTACTACACCAAGCTCTACAATATCTTGGTAAAATGCCCTGGGAGAAATCAACATTATTAACATATTATAGTATTATAATTGTGAATTATGAACACAGGGCAGCAGCAAATGTGAAATACTATGGCCCCATAAATCCCTTTCATGGAGGATAGCTATTTCAAGCAAAAAGTGGATACATATAATCTAGTTGAGATGGCAGTACAGACACGCTGGCTCCAATACATCCAAACAAAAGGGAAATAACACAACCCACAGTTCTATCTGCCCTGTGCACATCAAGTACAAACACACACACAAACGTGCACACACACACAAACGTGCACACACACAGGTATGCACAGACACACGCGTGCACACAGTGGACAGGAGCAACAGACAGCTGTACATCTGTGTGGACAACAACAGACTCACAGGTCACAAGAAACCATGTGACCAATGTACATGGGCCAGGATAAAACATAAAAAAGAACAAGAAAGAATCAAAGAACAAAAGCTGATTCTCATAGTTCATCAACAAAATCAATTGTAATAACTCAAAGCAAATTGGGAAGGTAAAGCAAAAGCAGACATATCCTTTGTATCTCCCCGTGGCTCTTTCATGTGTACTTTGTTACCAAAAATAGATCTCTGAAAAACCATAGGGAGAAGTAAATCACAACAATCTGATAATATGACAGTGAAAACAAGAACAATCACAGTTATACATTGCTATCTGTTCTCAATGGGTGAATGACAAAGTACACCTCTACAGCCAGGATTATATTAAACATCTGCTATGTACAAAATAAACATTAATTGTAGGGGCCATCATGATCAATGCACAAACTTCTTTCCTCTTATATGACTGAAGCAACAAGCCACGCATTAGCTGAATATTTTGAGTGGTCATAGGATGAGAATATTGGTAGTGTCAGGGAAGATGTGATGCACCAACTTCTGAACCTTGTCCACGGATAAGATAAAGTATTTGTCCCTAGTCACCATGACTGTTGTAGCGGATAACCAAGGCATGACCAGAGCTCCACTCGACTCTTCACCAAGAGATGCGAGACTGTGCGAGAGCCCCAGCAGCACAGATGTGGGTGTGTTTCGCGTCTTTTTGTCTTGCTTCCTCAGCCCACAGCTCAGCTGTTGGGGGCTCACATACACATTCAACTCTCATATCAGCCAATGTTAATCTATGGTGACCATATCAATGTCCATTCATATTTGCCAGTCTCACATGCCCAGGACAGCTGACAGCAGGCAGTGTGGTAGCTGTCGCCACACATAATCAGTGGCTCCAGTCATCCACAGGCTTGCACCCCTCACTGAGCCAGCCTCTTGAGCTCACTTGTCCAGCTGCTGATGTGGACAGGCAAGCAGACCGTCACTACTGTTGCCAGCACAACAGTGCCAGTGACCGTCACTAGTAGTCGGTGGAGGGGAGAGCTGGGGATTCCATCCAATCTGCTCACAGCATCCCGATGGTCCCCACACAACTCCCACAGTAAACAGAGGCGTGTCCCCTCCTTTTCGGAAGAAACTCGTGGTCACATTCACAACCAGACTTGTCTTTACAGCGTAGATACCAGAAACACTGTTTATGGAATTCAATTAGTGAAAAGTACTTCTATTGTGATTCACTTCCTTGAATTGCCATTCCGTTTAGAGTCACTGACTGTGGCACAGCTTACAGTCATCTGACTGCCACTATATAACATCAAACTCGGGAAACTTCGTTCTGAAACAGCAAAATGTGCATAATACACACATCTTCAGCTCATGGAACACGGCAGATCCGAGGTGAGAGCTGGTGCAGAGAATTGCCACAAACTGTGCCCTTCTCCGCCCACTAATAACTGGCGGGTATCTGTGGTTCAAGTCTTCTTCACCAGCCTGAGACCGACACACAGAAGTGCAGTACTGACTTTTTACTCATCATCTGGGTCGTGCTCTCGTAGTACTGCTATAGCATCCTTCACAGCGTGGTACACAATGTTTTTCACCTGCAAGAAAATAAACAGTGACTCCTTTTATTTTAAAATATTTCATAAGCTAGTCTTGGTTAAAATACAAAATGGATTATTCCCGATGCAACGAATTAGTCTCCCTTTCAAAAGCAAAAACAGGACATGTCAATTGACATTTTTTCTAAACTTATGTACAGACTTATTTTTAAAGGTTTCATCTCTTGCCACATAAATCAAGCGAGACACCAATTATAATAAAACATTTTCTTCACACCTCATGCTTATTTACGAAAAAACAACAACCCCAAAACAACAAAGCAAATTAATGACATTTGAGCTTGAAATAAACTACAGTAAAATTAAACCTCTGCAATAATGACAAACCATTGCACTGCAATCAAACTATAGCCTGTTTATAGAAGAACAAGTTTGTTACACCTGAAGGTCCAGAAGCTGAGCAGCTATAGTGGAAAAATGATCTAAAAGCTTGTGCCACTCACAAATGGAAACCATGGATTCAGTCTTATTATGCATCACTTCTCCTAGTGGGAATAAAATGACTGAGGACCTCTGTTAACCTCATCATTTCTCCATGGATACGATTTAATTCAATCTGAACATCTAATGCATAACAATAATTTCACTATTGTGTACCCTACCTGTAATTTGTCCTCATGGTTTGAATGCGTCTCAGAAAGCTGTCGAAATTCCTGTGTCAGTCGGAAACAATGGTTGAGATGCTCAGGGGAGACAAAATCCTCTGCAACCTTGATACAGCTATGTAGATTTCGCACCTGTTGGACGAAAGAAACAGGGCTAATGTAAATACAAAGTAAAGAAAAACTTTTTAATGAAATTATGCCTGAAAATTCTGAACATACTGAGCTCATTTGGATTGAAATTGAGATTGCTGACATTATCTGGTTCAATACTGTGCAACAAAGTATACCGTAGATGAATTTAAAAGATCAACACATGCAGCCACACTCACTTTTAAAAATGTATACTCGACTCGCTGGAGCCAGGGGAGTAAAGAGGAAGAAGGGTGGAGAAGACATGAGGTTTTTGGTTGCAAGCTTCTCAGATTCTAATTTCACACATTTTTGCCCTGGCAGGTTCGACTGGGCAAGTCTTTATGTATTCACTAGTGTTTGTGCATCTACAGGAAAATATGAATGTTGCGTTACCTGATGCGGGGCACCAGCTGGGATGAAAATGGCATCGCCAAGGCATTGGACAATGGTGTAGCCCTGTACTCCATACTCCTTGAGCAAGCGGTCACAGAGCTCCTTGTCTAGGTACCAGCTCTGATCATGGATGGCGTCATGGTCCTTTTCAATGCTCTCACCACGCTCTTTAGCCACCTGAGGGGGAGAAGAAAAAAAAGCACTTGGGGTAAGCCTAAGTTTGCATCCACTACAGTATGAACAAGGAAGAAATTAAGTTAACAGACAACCAGGTCTATTGGAAAAAAAATAAAGTCTGTCTTGATAATTTCAGAAAAACAAACTGATTGAAATTGTTTTCTTTTAGTACCAGTAACAAAATCTGTGACTAGAATCAAATTTCACCACAAGCATTAATTACCTTTTAAAACAACAGGCATAATGAGAGCCATAAACCATGCACTCAATCATACATGTAACTTGCCATGTCAACAATGAGTTATCCTTTAAATAATTAACAATAAATAGCTTTCTTGCAAACATAAATACAGTCAGACGGCCACCCATTGTCAAGGAGAAAATTGGCCGTATAAGACAGGTGGCCATCTTAGGCAGGACTGATCAAGATGAAGAAAACAAACCATTCCCATCTGAATCCCAATCGAAAGTAACCGCATTGTTCTTGTTTTTGTTGTTGTTGGTTTGTATTTTGTTTGTTATTTTTATTTTGTTGCTGATTTTGCACAAGGGTGACAATAAAATGAAATGTATCAGACGAGGAAGACCGAGTGCCATGTTAAAACAACAACATGGGTAGCCACCACTCGGAGAAAGAGCGACGCTTCTGTCACAAGTTCATGTTGATGTCCATTGCTACTTTGTTACAGACTGGGTAAACAGTGACCACTCATCTCACGCACGATTTGTGTAGGAGTTCTGGGCGGGGCTTATGGGTTATGAGGGATACATGCTTACCTCACCAGCAGCTGAAAATTGGTACCTATAGGTCAACAGTGGGAGGGGCCTACGCAACACGATCGGTTGGAGGGACTACCTAACAACAACGACAGGTGATTGAATTATGACAGCTTGCCCACAACGCCAGGGGCCAATGCACAATTTATGACAAAATGTAATGGAGTCACTAAGGTGGCCGTCTAAGACAGGTGTTATTGCTTAGTGTGATAGGGGTTGTGTGTTAAAATATGGTGGCCACGGCCGCGTTGGACAGGTGCCCGTTTTACACAGCTAAATTATATAGAAAAAATGCAAGGGGGGAAATGGAAAGTGGCTGTTCGTACAGGTGACCGTCTTAAAGAGGTGGCCGTCAGGGCAGGTTTGACTGTAGATACATCCACTTTTCAATAAACTAATTTACGTTTGGTATTCAGAGTTCAAGGTCAAGGGAAACAAATTCAATTTGACTATGACATGATGTCCGAGAAGAGAAACAGAAACAAGGTCAAAGAAACACAACCTTCAGATTTTTTCATGCATACCTTATTCAAGAAGTCTCGGATCTTATCAGCATCATGAGCATCATAGATGTGCCACAGAGCTCCTGGTATCTCATGCACTTCTCGCACTCGCCGTTTTGTAATGCTGTCACAGCCTGCATCATCAATGGCTTTCACTGCAGCTGAAATGACAATGGACAAGAGGAATGTTATTTCAGTTGTGAACTCTTGTCAAAGATTGAAAGAGACCAAAAAAAAATATTTAAAAAAAAATACCCTTTCCTTTTTTTTTATTTTCTGCAATGACGTGTGACAGTACGATTACGAGATCGCTCCTGTTCTTATCAGCAATATAAAGGTAATATGTGTTGTAGAGAGAATGAGCTGGCAAAGTAAAATAGGTAGGAAAGAGACAGAAAGGCAGGAGAGGAATCAGCCTTTTGCACACAAAAAAAAGTTTGGAGGAAGGAAATAAGAAAGAACAAATTAATCCTATCACCAATTGAGTCCCTGAACATTTCCAGTATAGATATCGACAGATGAAGTAAGACTGCCAAATGCCATTTTAAAGAGTGATGCATGAAGGGATCTTATACTGAGCAGTCAATATAAAACTAAAAGTCATTATATTTTAAGACTTTGAAGAGGATATGGGTTCAGAACACAAATGTAAAAGAAGAGCTTCAGGAACGAATCTTTGCAAGAGCTAACTCAAAGAAATACAAATAATGATGCTCGCTGAAATTAACAGCCAAGGTGCAAAATGGAGTTGCCAGATGACTCACCATCTTCTTGAGCTTTGCGTCCCCCGGGTCCATCCCCTGGGATGCCTACATACACCATGACGTTGACAGCGTCAGAGATGTCCAGATGCAAGTTGGTGGTACCTTCCTTGGGAAAGTGAGACGAGCCGTAAGCATTGTACATTTTGGGGCCTAGATCTGGTCGTACAGAGAAATCTGGGAGCCTGGAGGCCAGGTTGAGCTTGCCGTTGCGGTGTGTGTATTCAGGCAGGGGCAGAGCCTTCATCAGGTCCTGGAAGCGCGTGGGCAGCAGCTCACTGAAGTCATCACCTGGGGGCCAGTCCTTCAGCTTGAGAAGCATTGGCTCTTGTTTGTCATCAACAGGCCGGTCTGAGGGGAAAAACCACCAGAATGTGCAGGGTAAGAACATCTAACCACTCTAAAGGGACTGCAGTCAGGTGGGAATTAATTTACAACCACTGGGCACAATAAAGGCCTGTTTTCACGATAAGCACGAGGCAACAACCACCCATTAGAGCTTTTAACGGGACATGCGACAAAGAAAACTAAGACCCCCCCCTCCCCCCCATGATAAACTCAACGAGATCACCATCCACACCCAATGAGGCCACTTTTCTAAACTACAAAAAGGCAGCTGTCTGAAAGTCCATTTTTGAAAAGGTCAAACCTTCAAATAAACCTGAATTAGAATTACATAACAAGAAACATAATTTTTATAGTTCAGAAACAAAGCAAGAGAACAGTAGTATTACAAGGCCCAACAGAAACAGAATTAGTAACATCTCTGGACTGGCGGAGTTGAGAAGCATTATGGAGGACAGTTCAGTCGGGAACTGGAATAGCCACAAGTGGCCAAAAACAGATTGAGACATTGGTCACAATGAGACAACATGGAGAGAATGTACCACACTAGCCAGTTCATCAACAAGCCTATGGTTGAACCATGTGTTTTACACAACAGCAGGGCACAAACATTAACGTTCAAAGGAAGCGAGAAGAGAAAAATAATATGTGTGAGTAGTGGATACTTACTTCCAAGCACCTCAAAGCCGTCCCAGAAGTCACTCATTGTGTGGCCAATGATCACATTGCCTGTGCGACAGTTAACCACCTCGTTCTCAATGTCCCCAAACTCTCGGCTAAACACATCTGGCTTCCACAAGTTTAGATTCATTTGCTTGTTGGCTAGGGACACCAGAACAGGCTGAGGAAAAAAAAAAAAGGCCCAGTCAGGAATATACCACATGCAACAAAAAAGCTTGACTTCATTGCTCCAGGCAAACCAAATGCAATATTCAAAGCTACATTAACACAAGGCTACCAGAGACATGAAAGTGGGGGGAAAACGAAAAAAAAAACATTAGTACATTTAACCATTCCAAAGTTCTATTTTAATCAAAGGCAGACTAGCCATCTGCCTCACAGCAGTAAGTTGTCCATGAGATAAAATAGTGACTCATAAAGACACAAACTAAATCCTATAACAGTCCAGCAAGACGTATTGCCTTAAAAGATTAAGGAGAGAAAATGAAGGCTCACAAGTATGTGGGTGGACCACAATGTAGACTTTACCTGTCCTCGCTTCCACTGCTCCTGGAAGATTTGTAGATTCCCTTTATGATGAGCATCATGTAAACGCAAAAGTCGTCCATCACACAGCCAGGAGTGAGGAATATCTGGGTACAACACACTTGTCTCTGTCAGGCTGTGCACCATGATTGGCAGCTCACGCTTCCAGCCTCCCAGACGAGGTGTGTAGTGCATGAACTTGAAAGGAGCACCACCATCGAGACATTTCTTTTCCACTGCAGACTGGATGATGTGTACCAGTGTGTTGGTGCCAGAACCCTTTTTGCCTTTCTTCTCGTTGGACATTTTTGGCTGAAAAGATACAAGTTTACAGGTGCACTGGGTGTAACTGAAAGCCTTTGACATCATAAACAAAATACTCTGATGACATTCAACTATAAGTGCAAATCTGTTCATATAAACACTCAGATCCATATTTCATTTCTTCCCCAATGTAACAAACAACATAAGCATAATATAATAGAACAAAAAGCAGTTGACCCTTCATGAAGTTATTTAAACTGAAGTGCTATTTACTCAATTTAAAAAACCTAAAACAATCATCCATAAACAGTAAACAGCAACAACAACACATGTCTGTGTCTAACCAGAACATACCATCCCAGCCACACGCCACCCATGAGATGGGTTCAAGATCGAAATCTTGACAATGTGAGCGGTTATTGTTACCAACTTGTGACAACATCGGTCAGTAAACAAAACAGTACCCACCTTGCCAGCTGTTTTGGTGAGTAGTTCTCTCAGCGAGGTGCAGCTCGATTTTTTCTCAGACTCCTCTAAGAACTCATCCCCAGGTACGGCAGTCTTGTCCAGTTTGCCCTTGCCCTGGTCCCCAGGCTTCTCTCGGTTTGAGTCTGGCTCCATGGAGGCCACCTCGGCCAGGATGCTGAGTGGTGATGAGCTTGTGTCAGGATTGTAGTTACCCAGGTTCTTGAGAGGGTTCCCAGAATCTTGCTGCTTTTTGGACTTAGCAGATTTGCCAGACAGCTCCTCAGACCCAACACCATTGGGAAGCTTGCGAGAGTTGACCACACTTAAGATCTGCTGAAAAAACAAAACAAACAGATAAACAAAACTCTCTGTAACAACCCAAAGATTTCAAACAAAATCTTCCTTTCATCTGAAACATCAACATGGAATGAAAGGCCTGTTTAAAAAGGGCTCTTTCTTCTTATAATCGTCTCTCCATTCCCAAGGCTACCATGCCAGTTTTCTTACTTCCTGAATGTACATTATATATCACATTAGTCCAGTATATAATAGAACTGGTGCATCCAACAAATTTGTGTAAGCATTAGCATAAATAATTTACAAGCACCTTAACAACTTAAATATTGGGTATTGAGATATTTAAGAGTCTTCAAGGTGTAGACGATCTCAGCATGTTAACAGAACTTACTCCTCCAAACTATTAAACACATGGGACCAATCCTCACCTGTGTGATGCCATTTTTGGGCAGCAGTTTGCCATTGCTGCCACCACATGGACAGTTAGATGGGATGGACCACTTGGTGCGGATGTCATGGATGAGACGACCCAGTTCCCACAGAGCTGTAGGAGAAATACATCAGAGATGGCAAACATGGTACGAAGTCAATGGAAAACCATAACATGAATAACTATATTCATTTCAATGTACACAGAGTGCAAGAGCAAACACCCCCCCCCCCCCCCCCCAAATCTAATCTCACTGTGATCAGAGAGTGGCTTAACATTCACCTCTTTAAAAAATTGTTGAAGACTTTTCAGTTCCAATAAGTGCACAGAGTTATCAGTACTAACTTGCCTCATAGGCTGCCCGAAACAGTGACACATCTGGAACGTCACAGCAAAAGCTAGCAAGAACATTTAGAGCTTACAGTTATAGCTAATATTTTTTGGTTGGAAAACTGTATGGACTGGTTTTTGTCCACCGTTCTTTTAAAGTAATTAAGCTCATAAGTAAGTACGAGCATATTGTTAGCCAGCTGTTCAGATGTACTGTCTAATGTCACTGTATTTTAAAAAGTTCTTATTGACATTCAAAACTGAATGCACATAAATGAGAGAAGATAAATTCCTTTGCTGTTGACCCCATGGTTCATCATAAAATCTAGACCTCAACAACGCTATACCAGTTCTGATGTTCATTTTAATTTTACTACTATGAGTCTATGTAGTTCCCTTGTCCATCTGTTGCCAGTTGATCTCACTCATACAAATCAATACTGACAAATACCTCAAATTCTTCCCACTCATGGTCATACAGGTCTAAAACTACTTCAGATAATTATATCTGTCATTTTACTACCAGACAGCATTGGCAACAGCTGTGGCTTCTTCAAGTTTTTTATAACTCATGAGCTTGAAAAAAGATGTGTGATCGAATGTTTGCATATGGAACTGGAGTATCACATGGCAGAATTATTTTACTGTGTTCAGAGCTGCTTTAAAGGCACTTGAAACAAAGCTGTTCAGTATAATTTACAAAGTATGCACATGAACAAAGCAGTATAAGCCAAAAAGTTTAATAAAGGAACAGTTGCAGTGTTAAATAAATCTTTTAAAAGGATCCATAATCTGATCCTGTAGACACCCCCCCCCCCCAAAAAAAAATAAAAAATATATAATTTTTTAAAAAATCCTAAATCCTAAGAAAGACTTGCTCTTTGTTTTGAAAATATGCTTCAACCAGATTTTCTTTTTGACAGGATGTAAAATAGCCAATACAAAAAAGACAATCTCCAACTTTTACATGTTTCCATACTTGTTCATCATGCTTTTCATCTGGGTATTTGGATAATTGAGCCTGCTCCAAAGCTCTCTAAAAGTACAACTTGTCTTTCAATTTTCAAGACACCAACAAATAGGAAGCAGCACAAGCCCATGTACACAAGCATGACCCCTGAATACTGCCCCGTGCGTTTCCCACCACTCACCATCACTAGGGATAATCTGAGTGAGCATCATCTTGCTGGCTTCATGGGCCTGTCGGTTTGAGCTACACGTCAACCACTTGTCTTCTCCAGCAGGCTCTGAACACAGAAAGAGAAGGAATTATTTAAATTGTTATGAAACAGAGTAAAAGAAATAGTATCAAAGGATGTGAATTATCTGAATAAAAGAATTGCTTTTTATTCTATACAATAAAGCATCTCAGCTAAATTCACATGAATAGTTCCTCAAATGCTACTGTAAAGTGTTTATAGACTTTTGAAAAGATGCTTAAATCTTTATAATTTATGACAATAATTTAACTGAACCTAGACAAACCGCCATTTTCAATTTATGTGCTGTCACACTTCATGACAAGAGAGCAAGAAAATTATGCATAACACTTTTTCAGGATACAGTAGTAGTAATTTAAAGATACACAAGCTAAACAAAAAGAAATTAACATAAAATTTGATTACTTTTTTGTTTCAGCTTGGTATTGGTGGAACCACTTACTTTTGCCTTCCTTCATACGAACTTTGTAGCAATCAAGGCAAACCACAAATCCACACTTCTGACACACCCAGTGCATATTGAAGAGGGTTGTGTCACAAACATCACACATCTCTCTCACACCCTGCACAGCTCGTTTCCAGGCAATTTTCACTGTGTACAGAAGAAAATAAATATGATTACATATTTTTAAAAACTTGTGTTGCACAATACTGCTATACTTAAATGGGCACTTGGTCAACAAAAAATTATTTACCCAAGGACAAAAGTTTTTGAGAAAAACTACCCTCAAATTGTGTGACTTCCCTCCCTTTGTTATTTAAATCTTTAAAACTAACTATATTATAATGCTAGTAATGATAGTTATACATTACAACGTATTGCATTTTTACTGACACATGCACTTATTCACCAATGAGCCAAAAATGGAAGTTAAACTTGTGTAACTTGGTTCATGCTGAATGTAAGGTATATTATGGATTCTAATAATTAAAAGTGACACATTATTCAACATTACAAGACCTGAGCCAACAAGGTAACCATAATCATAACCTGTAGCAAGGTAAGGCAGTGACAAGTCTAAGAGAGCATGCCCATCCGTGTCTGATGCCATCCTATCATTCTCACCTGCCCAAGACTTGGCTTCCTTCTCCTGTTCCACCAATTCACAAAACTTGTCACCAACTTTGGAAATGATGAACTTGGAGTTTTCCACATCCAAGTCTGGTTCTTCAACTGTGGATGAAAGAGATCATACATTCACTTAGTTGGCAGACTGTGACATTTCATCTAAGAAAAAAAGCAATAAGTTCGTTAAAAAAAATAATTTAAAAAATCTCATGCGTGTACACTTTATCGCCAACAGGTTTTTGAATTCAAAAGCACCAGTATTATAATTCTACTGCACAATTACAACGTCCACTTTGGCTTTGGACACTGTTTCATTTCATAGCCTTTGTTTCTACCACAGATAGATGTACAGCTGTAGATCACTCAGCATGGAACAGAATTTGATATAAATGGGGACCTTGATAATTTCACAATCTATTACTACAAATATATATATATACATGTCTGTCATATGTACAAAACAACTGTTTTGCAATATTTACTTGGACATACCTGGATAACGAGGAAGCCAGGGCTCAATATCATCAGGGTCAGCATCAGATAGCTCAGAAAAGCCATCAATTGTAACAATACCCCGTGAGCTGTACTTCAACCTGAGGACATTATCATAAAACATGTCATGACATTTTGACAACTGAAACGTTATCTAAAATCTTTTTCTGGCTAAAATATGGTTATCCATTGTGCTGTGATAGTATGAATGTTTGCTTATGTGTTGGTATTAATCTAAAGGGCGTATGTATACATGTTCCTCCACTTGTGTTTTGCATTGAGATGAAGGTATTGTAAAGCGCCTTGCGCAGTATTGCAGTGGAGTAGACGCTATAGAAATTATCTCCCTTATTATTATCACTACTAAAATGGCATTGCAAGTTTTCACTAAAACTGAGCAATATTTCTGGGCAAAAAAAACTACTGAAAGTACAAATCAGCACCATTGTAAAAGGAACTAACAGCTGAGAATCAGTCATCGAGAGGTCAGAAAAAAGCCTCACAACTTAACCTCAATAGAGGTTGAAAAAAGAAAATAGATGAATGAAAGAAAATATATTGGAAAAACTTTCACCATCACATGTAATTCTAAAGTAACCCACTCTAAACGCAAATAATGAACTATTTTTTCTTGCAATTTACTCTCAACACATGCAACAGACACTGGACTGCATTAAAAAACCAGGTGTACATCTAAATATAATCATTTAGAAAGAAATCCTTCGTTGATAAGTTACCTTCGAAAAGCATAAAATCGGCAGAAGATATTTGGCTGCTTTTTACTGCGCTGCACAGGTGTCATCTTGCACTCTCTGCACTTAGTGAGCTTTGGGGTAATTTCACTGCATGGTCCATCTTGAATGAACGGAACCATGGTCTTTTTCAGTGTGGCCACAGTCTGCTTCACCAAAGGTTTGTTGAAAGATGAGCCTGCAATAGTAAGTTGAAAGGAAAACGAAGGTTAGCCTTTATCAGCAGACCAAATTTAGCTAAATCAACAACCAATAGATGCATAGCTAAAGGTTTCATATTATAATATTTAGCAGCGAGATGAAACCATAATGTACTCTTCCCTGAAGCCGTTTGAAGGTCCATGACAAGACAAATGACACCAAAATATAAACTTGTTCTTTTACTTCTTGTAAGAAAAAAATGGCCCCTACTAGCTCTGTGACATTTTCTCTCAGTACGTTATATGTTAAGGGATTAATAAAATATTACTTCTGAGAAATCTAAAAAAACTGCAGTTCAGAAACAGTGACTGTCCACAAGAAACTGACTTGGTTCACACAGACATGTCAGCTCAAGTGACCGTCATTTCTTGTTCAGAAGAGCTACGAGAAATTACATAAAGAACATCACCCATACTTTTCTTACTGTCTTTGGAGGCAGCCTCTTTGCTGCGCCTGGGCTTCTTCTTTTCCTTGTTCTCCTTGCTGTTGGCCCCGCTGCTGTTTTGCAGCCTCGAGTTGCTGGTGGTGGGTGACGAGGATGATGATGTCGATGAGGCAGTGCTGGTTGGGTTGGTCTCTGACAGGGTAGGTGATGGGTTGGACCTGTCCGAGTGAGGTGATGGGGATGACACAATGGGTGCTGTTGATGCTGCCGTTGTTGTTGCGTTGGAACCAGCCTTCGTGTTTCTTTCTGGAAGCTTGGACGGTTGTGGGCTGTTATCACGAGATTGCTTTGATGAGTTGAGAGCCTGGTCTTCTCTCTTGCTCTGCTGGCTGTCCTCCTGCAGATAGAAAAGTTATTTCCATTGCATCATACGAGCAAATCAAACATGGAAAAGGGATACAGATCTTAGCCATAAGAACAACAACAAACAGCATTGAAATGTAAAATCTAGTCAAGCCACCAACATCTGATTATACTCAAACTGAAGCATCTTTTGCTACGGACAGATTATGAAATAAAAGTATTACTTCAGCGTGCCCCCTCTCTCTCTTTCCCCCCCCCCCCAAGTTACAAATACTCTTTTGCGCATGAGGTCATGGCTACCCACACAGAGAGAGTAGAAGACTCCGCATGTAAATAGTAATTCAAGTAAATTCCAAAAAGAGGGCTGAGGTAGACTTTTTTTTACCAATCATGATCCTATTGATAGAACCAGCAAGTTCACTTGTCATCACAATATATACTCAATATTTCCACAAAGGTAAGCTCGCGAACAGGCAGTAAATAACTCACCTTTGCTTTGACATCTTTCTCAGTCTTGCCTCTTTTGGCAGAAGCGGGTGTTTTCTTACGAGAACTACTGCTGTTGCTGTTGCTGGACACAGCAGAGGAGGGTGAGGCAGCAGCGACACTCTCGGGCTCTGTTTCTGCCTTGGCCTTTTTCGCAGCACCAGCCCCAGCGCTTGAACCTCCAGATTTACGGGACTTCACACGCTTTTTAGACCCAGCATTCTTAGTGGAGTTCTGTGGAGGAGGAGCATATAGGAGTTAGCTTTACATATTAGTCACTTTTTCAACCACTGTAAACTACCATTCCAAAACACATATACACACACAGACACCCAAACATCAGAGATACCTTTTTTGTTATTTATTTCGTTTTTGTATGAAGGGGTAAGTTTTGGAGGGGTGTTGGGGTGGTATTCAATAAGAAAACTTAATCTAAAAATAGTAATTGCAAGAGCATATTTCAATTGGTTGTGAAATTATTGCAAAATCTGTTTCACCAAAGCGTTTACGAAAGAAATTTGACACAGGACGATTCCATTATAAAAAGACTGGAATAAGAAGTGCAGTAAAACTGAAAAGTCACTTATAGAGAAAATAAAAAAGTAAGAAAGAGTACATATCTCATAGCTCATTATCAAATCTTGAATTGCAATTACAACAAACTGACTTCATATGTTTGTTTTTTTGGATTGATCGAGTAGGTGTTTTACAGCACTATCGACTCAATACTTCATATGGGCCTGATGATACATCACTTACACAAGTTCCAGGTTTCATTTAACAGACCCCAAAAAATAGAGTGGTAAACAGCAACATGAAAATCAGAAAAACAAGTGATAAAAACCTAACTATGTCAACACTGACAGTAAAGCTGAGGAATCTGCACTGTTAAAACAATTTCATCATAAGGAACAAATATCAGACGGATTAGCGAAAAAGACCCAAAAATTAGTGACCTTAAAGGGCTTGTTCACTGACCACATGTAAACAAGCATCCAACAGTGCCAGGGCCAGAATACAGACTTTTTAAAAATGGTTATCTGAACTGCCCTAGACACAATTCTAAAAATAAAAACTTGTTTAGACAGGAGTAAGAACCTGTAATCATAAAAGATATTGATACAGTCACATCCCTGCATATCAGTAAATGTCAACACTCCCCCTCCCCCCCCAATCATCATACACGCAAACAAAACAGTACAAGGTAAGCAACAAACAAAAGACAGGCCAACAAGTATAAATTTTTGTATAAGAGTGAGCGTGTATGCCTAGGGAAAGAGAAAGAGGCATCCTTTGATTATTTTTAGGGGGGGGGGGGATGTTGAGTGCCCACAGCACACTCTGCCTATGGTGGCGAGGGCAGACAAATAGCACAACCCATCTGTCAATGTCACTCCTCCTGGCCACACAGACCAGCCCTGAGTACAGGCACAGCCAGACAAATACCACAGGGGAACTCCGATTTGACATGAGCCCAGAGAGCTCATGTGTGGGTGTGTGCAGACAGGCTGACGTGTAACAGGTAAAAGCAGCCGCCCCCCCCCCCCTCCCTCCTAACAAGCAAGTACAAAGGGAAAGCAAGGTTGACATTGCAGGATTGGCACTGTGCAGAAAGCACATGGCTCTTTCCTTAGTCCACACTTTTTTTGTCCCAACAATACACCTCAACAGCAGCTCAACAGTATACAAGAAACCAAGGGAGTTTAAATCAATATAAGCTAAAGTGGTCCAGATAATGTGAGAGTGATTGACGTCTTGTTCATATTGTAGTTCAGAAACGAAACGGTATGTTTGTGCAAAATTCAAAATACATATATTCATGTATATGAATATGATCTCCTGTATTGTAAAAAAATGTAATGTTACATAAAAAGAGGTAAGAAATCGGACCAATCCTTTAACTTTATAAATATGGATGACTTGCTGACCAGCCTTTTTCATTCCTTACCTCTGGGACTCAATATATTTTCATACAGTTTTGATACAATGTATTGAAAATAGAAAGAATCTGCATACTCAAGAGAAAAACTTTGAGTTTTTACACAATGGGTAGCAGTTATGTACACCCCTCTCATCACAGTTATGTCATTTCCGAGAGAAAGACTGTAATAAAGCGTTACAAAAACTAACATAACTATCAGTGATGTGGATTTAAAACAGAACACCTACCATAAATAAACATTCTCTACAGATAACCCTTTAGTTTTAGTAGTGTTTTACTGCACTTGCAACACAATAAGGTCATATATAAGTGCCAAAGATCAGAGATGTTACAAGAGAGTAACAAACACAAAAAAGAAGAAGGGTAGATAGGGATGATCAATGTTTGATAGGAAAGAAGAAGCAAACCACACCAGAGCACCCACCAACCACCCACCAGATAACCCTTGTTGGGTGAGTGGGAATGCTTGCACAAACTGAACAACAAGACATAAAAAGTTATAAGACTTGAGCATTTAGCAATCAGCAAATCTAGTCAGTCTTGTGTCACACTAAAGTACTTGAACATGAAAACATACAAAACAAAACATAAGGTCAGTATGCTGAATCTGTTATAACCAACACAATAACAATGTGGTCTTAAGACTAAAAGTTGCATTCAAAATCTAGTCAATACAGAGGTAGAAGCCAACAAATTTGAAACTTTCTGCGTTCATGTCATGAATCTCCAAGCACAAAGTCTGGCTTGGGGTGTTGGGACCTATAATCCGCCATTCACTACTCTCGTGTAACTCTAAAATCTGACTACTATTCTTGCAGAGAATTGAAAAGTCAGAAGCTGAAGTCATGTCCCTCCTGATTTTATCATAGCATAGTGATTAAAGTTTAGCTCATAGAACAAAAAGCCTACAAAAGAAAGTCTAAAGAGAGCAAACGAGGGAAATTCATAAAGGATGCAAATTTCTGGCAAAATAACTACTGACCTGCATCTCAGCTTCAGAGGCAGAAGAGGTAGATTCATCATTGCGATGGTTGAGATCAGAAATGTTGCCATTGGGCAGTGTGACCACCACATTGGCTGGTGAGCTACTGAGGCTGCTAAGGCCACCTTCTCCTGTGGCACCGGAGTTCTCCACACAGCTGATGCTATCACGGGCTGCCTGAGTAACCGGCCGCTGTTGTTCTTCCTGGGTCACAGGAGCAGGGGCTGCAGGAGGAGGAGCCACGGGCGTCTCCGACTTCTTGTCCTCGTCGTGACGCTGCAGCCATGCCTTCTTCATATGGTGTGGATGGCTCGAACCAGAACTGTTGCCGCTGCGGTTCAGCGGGCTGCTTGTGTCTGACGGTTTTATTTGCGGAGGCGGGCTTGAAGCACTGAGCGTATCTGAATCTGTGTCAACCTGGTTATTTGCCACTCGGTTTATCGTGTCCATAATGCGACTGTTGTACGAGGACTCTGCATTCAACGATGTGGGTGGCACCTCTGAAGGTGCCGAAGTTGCTGCCATTTGTGAAGTGACCACTGCTGGTGGCTGCCCTCCAGGAACACAGTCAGACTTTCTTTCAAGAAGGTTTGGCTCAAACTTTGTGCTTACAGGGCCTGCCGCAAGAGCAGCCGAGTTGTTGACCCTTTCCCTCTCCGCTTTCTCCTGAGCCTTTTTCTCGTCTTGCAGGAATGCTATATGAACAGTGTTCTCCACAAAGGACTTGAAGTTGTCCATGAAGCCAGAGTTCATGGAGGAAAAACTTGCAGACAGTGAGGGGGATGGGGAGGCCGAGCTCATTGAGGTACTGCCTGGCTTGGAGAACACACTGCTGCTGCTGGTAGTGGTGTAAGGGGACGGGTTGGTCAGGATCTCGGGGGTAGTCACTGGAATGGACATGGCTTGGCCTGGTGCTTCAGCCTGACCCTTCAACTTCTTACGGTTATATAAGCTAGGATCCTTGCTACTTGCTGTTGGTTTTCGCTTCATGCCTGGCGGGCTCACCTGAGGCTTGGGCCCTCCCTGTGGCATGCCAGCCATGGGCACAGGCATGCGGTGTGCTGTGCTGTTGTGCTCAGAAGGGTGAGGGGCTCCCCCCTGGCTGTAGATGGGGTTTGGCACAAGGCCTTGCTGGATCAAGCTGTAGCTGTAGGCCAGTGCTGCACTGGAGGCTGAGACAGGAGGAGGGGGAGGCACAGCAGGCCCAGAGGTGGAGTAGCCTGGGTGTGAGGCAGCTGGGTGAGGCTCCCCTGCCTTCACTTTGCTGGGGCCACTGGCTTTGTGGTAGTCAAGGGGCAGGGGCATGCTCTGTTGTGACTGACTAGCTGCCGGCTTGTAGGGGCTCTGGGAGCGAGAGGCATGCGCCTCCACTGCACGGAAAGCAGTGCTGTGTGAGGGAGGGGGTGGCCCTGCAGGGCTGCTACTGGAATGATGCAGAAGGTGTGGGGGGATGCCCGAGGCGGGACTAGTGGAGGATGACAGGGGGCGCTCTGGTCGGTGCTCAGGGGTGTGCGCTGGCCGTGGGTGCTGGGGCCGGGGAGATGAGGAGGAGGGAGAATTGTGGTGCGAATGTGCTGCCACAGGGGTCTCCATCTTGATCTCCGACTTCATGTCTCGTTTCACGATAACAGAATTGTGCGGTTTTAAGTCTTTGGGAAGGTAGCCTGCAGCGGCATGATGGGGGCTGGCAGCGTGGGAAGGTAGAGCTGAATAGGGCATTTTCTTGTCTACCATTTCCTCCTTGATAGGCTGAGACTCTGGGATCAACTGCTTCTTCAATTGTTCACTGGAGATGGTGGAATGGGCAGAGGGGTAGCCGTACAAGTTGAAGACTGGTTTGTGACTTGGAGGGTAACCCCCACCAGAGTTGTATGGGTAGCCAGGGAATGTTCCGCCACTTTTCTCAGCAGGTCCACCTCCTTTACTGACAAACCTCTTGTCATCTGGGATATCAACCTCCTGAGGAGATGAACAAACAGAACATGAGAACAAAGCAAATTATTAGCAATATTAAATATCAATTTTGTAAATAGGAAGAAAAGAACACAAATGTATGAAAAGCCAAATTGATACCCATGCTGGAAAAAAACAAACTTACAATCACCAAAATTGTATATTGGAGAAAGGATGGCCCACAAACATTGACATATGCAGTCTAGCAAGTACATAGTGAATAGAATTTAAGGTCCCAATTTTTGTCTTAAGCCTGTGTGTTCATTGTATTTAAAACATTTACATAGCAAAATTTGTAACAAAATTAAAAGATTTCCACATCCCATCAATCTTGCTATGCGCATGTCAGACTGTAACAATACCCAAGACAACTGTACCGCCAAGTGGAAGAAAAAAATAAAAACACTACAATTATCTATTCTGCAACCAAATATAAGTATTCAAAATCTGACATAACAAATGCTCCTTGCTCAGAAAACTTTCAATCAAAGCAAAAATCCAGCTCACTACACAGTATAGAATTCTGTTCAACTCTATGCAGAGGGCAAGGTATGAGTGGCAAATGATTCTGGTTCAGTTCACTAAAAACTAAGAACTTGAAGCTTGGCAACAGCAGCAAACTGAATGATCATCCTCCAGCTATGAAGTCCATATTACTAAGATCTATATATAGCTGCTACAGCATGATGAAACCACATTGGGGAATACCCCCCCCCCCCCCCCCAAAAAAAAGGTCATGTTCTGTTGCATGGATAGGGGAGAAAGATTTAACAACATCTGGTGGGAAGACATTGAAAGGAGTGAGAAAGGTAGTAGAAGGGGTGGGAGAAAGAAAGGGTAATATAAGTGCTGTCTTCTAGAAATGGTGGACCTGGAAGCTGTAAAGATAACTGTTTGATTTTTTTTTAAAAACAGGATCAACTACACTAGAGCGCCTGCCTGAAACACCCACAGGACAGACAAACCATGTAAAAAAATATACCTTTCACTAATTAACCAACTGCTGGAGCTAAAGGCTTTTCAGTGCGTGTGTCAGAATAATAAAGACACTTACCCTCTTCATCATCTTGGCTTCCTGGTATGCCAAGCTGTGTGGTGGAAGTGAGTGCTGTCCCTCGGACTTGGCCATAAAGCCCCGTCCGGTACCTCGGCTAATGGAGGGCAGGATGCCGGGAGCAAGACCCTGTCCAGAAAACAAGACATTAAACTAAGACTGTTGGTGGAGCTGAGCTTTCACAGCATTATCATCAAGAAAATTACACCATGAGAGCAGTGTCACAATAAACATTCGGGGGCGGGGAAGAAACAAAGAAAACTCACCCACATAGCTCATCCCATAAACTATGCCATAGTCCAAAAAAAATATTTACAAAAATAGAAAAAGCTCGAGTGTTTTATTTCCTATGCAGTCACATTTGCCAACAGGACCATTGTTCAGTTCATGCTTTAAATAATAAAAAAAACAACAACAACAACAAAAACATATTGGTCATGAACAATTGTTTTGTTTCTCAAGAGAGAGAAAGACTACATAAATAATTCTACCAACAATGAACAAGAAACAGTAATAAATCACCCTAAAACATCTGCCAGCGAGTTATCCTAACAATGTGTCTTCTTGACACAGACTCGACCTAGCTAGAGTCCCCAGGCGACGTTACAGAAATAAAGGCTTCTGTGATGATTCATTGAAACTGAAAACATGAGCAATGGCCAGTGATGTCATATTCTTAGTTCAAACACTCCTCAGACTTCCTCTTTGTTTTTTGTTGCTGGTGAGACGAGTTTTTGTTTGTTTGTTTGTTTTTGCTTTCTTTTGTCTTTGTTTTCATGACATTCTCTCGACTGTCTCAACTGTACTCCAAGCATAGCTACACAAAGGCTATTTGCACATAGACAATCCAAGTCTGGGTAGTTATTACACAGAAGCAGGCAACGGGGCGCACGCTCTCAGATGAAACTGATGAATTCCCCCCTTTTCTCTTTCTACGCTTTTATGTCTGAAACCAACCCCCCCCCCTTCCCCTCTCCCAT